TTTCCTTTAAAGCCCATCTTTCTGGAGGAAGTCTTTCTCAGGTCCCACCACCTAAAGCTTCTCCTTTCAAATTGCCTTTCCTCTACTCCATATAGATCTGGTATATACCTAGTCATTTCATGTTGTCTCCATTAGAACGTACACTCATGAGAGCAGGGACTGTTTTTTTTTTCCTTTCTTTGTATTCCCAGTAGTTTAGAGCAGTGCCTAGCACTTAGTAGGAGCTTAATAAATGCTCATGGACTGACAACCAACCAATAGCCACAAAGCCCAAACTGCCTCTGGACCTGTCTAGACATAAGCTCTTACTGAGCTCCACTAGTACCCTTAAAGCTGGGTCAGAGGAGTTGGGGAGGAGGGGAGGGGAGGGAATGGAGCTTATAAAAGCAAAGGCTAATGACTAATTAACAGTGGTCCAAAACAATAAAAGTTTTATGTGGACCCTGCTTAGCTGTTTCTGATCCGCCAGGGTCAAAGAGAAAAGTGGCTTAATTACATAAAGTGCATAGGTTGATGTGAAGAAGAACTTTTTCACTATAACAATGATTAATCATTAGAACAGACACTAGAAAACATCACACATTTCTTAAAACTCTGGTGGCTTAAGAGGGAACGTGAATAACAATAACAATGGAAAGAAAACTACCTGGGAAAGACTGCAGCACTCTCGGGGCCGGCATCACTGATGGGTGCCACAGCTCAGAACCACTAACAGAGTGAGTGGCCCCGACAGAGAGGGACAGACCCAAGACACACAGGCGGCCAGGTGGACATCGCCAATGTGTGTGCTGGTCTGGCTTACTTGTTACAAGGACTGTGCTTTTCCTTTTTTTATTGGGGGGAAGGACCTGCAACTAGAGACAGAATGGCCAGGAGAAAGAGAGAAGGAGAACACAAATGAGATTACTGGAGCATCTTTAAAAATGTAATGATGAGAACAGAAGTTAGTTCAGAGAAAAACACAGACAAGCAGGACGATTTTGAAAGTAAAATGTTGGATTTATTACGTGTGTGTGTGTATACGTGTATATATATATATATTTTTTTTAAGCAAGCGTACATAATAGAGATTCATGGCTTCACACAGCTTTCTCTTATATTTTGCATATGAAAATGTTCTTTTTTTTGGTGTTCGTTAAAATCAATATAAAAAAATTTTAAAGTAACTTGGACTGAAGTAGGTTATATGAGATAAGCTAATAAGATTCCTTCTATTTTATGGTTCATTATTTCCAACTTCCGTATACTGAAAAGGGGTGTTTGCAAGGGGGGAAAGGGAACAAGCATTTATTAAACACCTACTTATTATGTGCCAGGCACTGTGCTAAGTGCTTTACAATGATTATCTCATCTGATCCTCACAACCACCCTGGGAGGAAGGTGTAATAATAACACCCCATTTTCCAACTGAGGAAACAGAGGCAGATAGAGCTTAAGTGACTTGTCCAAGGTCATACAGCTGGGAAGAGTCTGAGGCTGGATCTGAACTTGGATCTTCCCAGCTCCAGGAAGGCACTCTAACAGTGGTGCCACCAGCTGCCTTGAAAACATTCATCTCATCTAAGGATCTGACCAAGGAGCAACAAACTGACATCTCTTGTGATTTTTATCTGCAAGTTCTAAAAGTAAGCCTTAAAACAAAGCACTCATTCTGGAGATGTAAGTGGAGATCCAACATCTCTATGCCACAAATTTCTGTTTCACGTTTCATGATAAATTCATGGTTAAGAGTAGACCTCCAAGAGGGACTGTGGGAGATGGCAGGCTGGGCTCAGGAGCCTGGCTTCTTACAAGGCTCCCCACAGCCAGGCGGGGTTCCCTCCAGCCTCCTGGTCCAAGACAATCCGTGCTCAAAGGTTCTAGAGCCAGTCAATGAGCCCGCTGAGCTGCTGTCTGTGACTGCGGACAGATCTCACAGAGCAGGAGGGCCCCAGGCTGGGAGAGAGGCAAATGAGATCCTGAACATCCAAAAAGACAGGGCCGTGGAATCTGAAGGCCAGCCTCAGTGGGCTTGTCTTTGACTCCTGAGAAAATTCTAGACTCTGGTAGTGAAGAGATAGCTAGAAAACCAGCACCCTAGATGACAGCTACACCCCCAGGCTGAATCCAACTAGATGACACCTAAAAAAGAAGCAAGAAGCACAAGAGGCCAGCACCATGAAGGGCAGAGCTGCATCGGTGTGGGGAAGGTCAGCCACAGGTCCAGGTCACCCCTCCATGCCTGCACATTCATAAGTGCATGCCTGTGCACGCCTGTGTCGCATTCATGTGTGTGTACAAGGCAGACCATGCCAGACTCACCATGCCTCTTATGCTGACATAGTTACTAAGCTGGCTAAAGGAAAACAGGCAGGAAATGTCCTCCACCGAGTCCTGCTGGGTTTTTGCCAAGGGTTTCACAAAAGGCCTCAGGCTGTCACTGCAGAAGAACTGGAAAGACGGGGGAGAAATGACCACACAGGCGGAGGAGTCAGAGTTGGCTGAGTAGCTGGATGCAGAGAAGAGCCAGAAATGGCTCAGCGTCAACGGGAGGCAATACTTGGTGCCATGGAGAGAGGCAGTGGCCTGTATTTAGGAAGGTCTGAGTTCAAAACCTGCCTGAGTTTCTTCATCTGTAAAAGGGAGGTTAGAACTACACCTATCTGGTGCAGTGGATAGAGCACCAGCCCTGGAGTGAGGAGGACCTGAGTTCTAATCTGGCCTCAGACACTTACTAGCTGTGTGACCCTGGGCAAGTCACTTAAACCCAACTGCCTAAAAAAAAATTTAAAAAGGAGGCAGCTAAAGGTGGGCAGTGGATAGAGCACCAGCCCTGAAGTCAGGAGGACCTGAATTAAAACCCTGCCTCAGACACATGATACTCACTAGCTCTGTGACCCTGGGCAAGTCACTTAACCCCGACTGTCCCACAAACAAACAAAAAAAAAGAACTGCACCGATCACCCAGGGTGGTTGTAAAGATAAAATGAGATATTTGTAAAGTTCTTCATAAACTTAGAGTATCACTGCGATGAGTGTCCCAGGGATCTGTGCTTGGCCCTGCATCACTGAACAGTTATCAATGATTTGGGTAAAGGAAGAAATAGCATGCCTATCAAATCTGCAGATGACCCAAAGCTGGGAAAGGAAATCAATACATCACATGATGGTTAAGATCCAAAAAAACCTGGTGTCTTTAGTAGACTGCCATCTCAAGGAGTCGGGGGGACATGGAGGCCAAACAAGCCCTCTCAGTGCCCCTAAGAGGATTAGCAGGCAGTGGGGTCCTGGTGGGACGGGCTGAAGTCGAGAAGGGCACTGATAAGCCAAAGAGATCTAGTGGAGAGCAGGCAGAAGGTGGATGCACGCCATAAGGAACGGCGGGAGGGGACACATCTCCAAGTACATAAAGGGCCATCGTGCTGAAAAGTGATCAGACAGATTCTGCTCTGTCACTTGGAGCCGGGCCAGAAGCAGGCTGGGAGGTACAGGGTCAGACCTTGACACCCTTGCTGGATGTCAATCAGAACGTCCTGACAATCGGAGCTGTCCCAAAGGGGAAGAGGCTGCCTGAGGGGATCAGCAGTTCCTGCCTCTTCAAGCTGCCCTCCCTGTGCTGGGGAGCCTTTCTCCAGCCTTCCTCCAGCCTCCACTACTTCTGAGAGCCACAGAACTTCAGAGTTCAAAGGAACCTCCACCTCCAGGGTCCCTCCTCTTCCGAAATTCTATGATTCTTGAATTAAGCCTGTCTCAACAAGCAAGTCCGTTTGCAAATAGTAAGGACCTTCTAATTGCCAGGCACTCGGGGGAGAAAAAGAAAAGGCAAAAACAGCTCCTGTCCTCAGGAGCTCATAGTCTGTCGGGGCGGGGGGGGGGGAGATGACAACCAAACAACTGTGTACCAACAAAATAAACTGGGGTAGTCTCCAAAGAAGGTGAGATTTTTGCTGGGGCTCACAGGAAGCCAAGGGCAGCAGGAGGTGGAGAGGCGCAGGGAGACAATTCCAAGCCTGGGGACAGCCAAGGAGAAGGACAGGGTCAGGAGATGCAGGATCAACAAAGAAGCTAGCGTCACCGGGATGAGCACGAAGGCAATAAGACAGAAGAAGCCGGCAAAGGTGGATTACGCAGGGTTGTGAATGTCAAACAGAGGAGTCTTTACTTGATGCTGGAGGCGACAGGGAGCCACAGAAGCTTATTGAGTGGGGGGGGAGGCAGTGGCACGATCAGATCTGTGCTTTAGGAAAATCACTGCAGTGGCTGAATGGATGATGGACTGGAGTGGGGAGAGACCCACCGAGAGCGATAGAACTGTCCAGGCGTGAGGTGATGGGGGCCTGCACCAGGACAGGGGCACCAGCAGAGGAGAAACGAGGGTGTACAGGAAAGAGGTTACAAAAGCAGAAGCAACAAGGTTTTACACCAGCTTGGATGGGGGGAGCGGGGGGAGTCCAGGATGACCCCTTCACCGGGAGCCTGAGGGTCTGGGAGGACACTGGTGCCTCTGCAGCAGCAGGGAAACTGTTCCAGAGGACTCACGATAAAAACTGTTATCCACCTCCAGACAGAGTGGTCACAGATTCAGAGAACAGATGAAGGCACATATATTTTTTTTGGACACAGTTAATGTGGGAATTTGTTTTGCTTGACTATATCTTTATAATAGGTTTTGTTTGTCTTGCTTTCTCAATGTGTGGGGGAGGGAAAAGTGACAGGGAGAGAATTCAAGACTGAGAATACAATAAAAATGAATTTTTTAAAATAGTAGGGAAGTTAGGAAGAGAAGAGAGTTGCGGGGGTGAAGATAACGAATTCTGTTTGGGCCTACATTCTAAGATTCCTTTTAAAGTTAATATTCTATAACTCTAAGCACTCTGATAAATAAAGGAATGTATAAAATGATACAGAATCAACAATAACTTAAATTTATGCTAAGTGCAGTTGGCTTGAGGTATTTGTCTTTAAAAGAGCCAGCTTTCCCCACACTCTAAAGTACAAGAGCAAAAAACAAAGTATTTCACCTGCCAACAATGATGGCAAGAAGTTTCTGTGCTGGCTTCAGAATGAGCCAGAGAAGAGGAGCAGGCACAGCCCAAAGCCTCGATGACGTGTGGAAGCTGCTGCCATCTCTCCTCCCCTTCCCAGGAATGAACCGTGAGAGCGCGAGGACGGCACTTCCCTCCATCGATCCCTGGCGCCCAGGCCAGCTGCTCATCCTCTTCCAGGTTTCTCTGCTTTGGGCCCTTAAAAGCCATCCCTGGCTGTTCTGACAGGTCCTAGAGAAGGGAGGACTTCCCCTCGGCAGACAAGTGAGCCCAGGGCTCCTCCTCAGGCTGTGTCCCTGGCACGTGTCCGCCATGTGGTTCACTAGCACCTGATGAGCACGCTTTGAAGTCGGACACCAACATGCCCTAGGAGAGTTTCTCCAGTTAGTCAGCAAAGCTAACCGAAAGAAAAGACAGTTTCTACTAGAAGACTGTAGGCCACAGATGGTGTTCATTTTTCCTTTTGCTTGATTATCCTAGAACACAGAAAGGAAACTATAAATATATCTGGAAAATACCTACAACTTAACAAACTGAAAATTTTATTTATGTAACAGGGATTCAGGTTACTGCTCACTTAGCACAACTCCAGTTAAAGTGACCAAAGTGTTTCCCCACACTGTGGCCCTTCAGGGACACTTTTCAATGACACAAACAGTAACAGAGTGGAGTATTCCCCAAACTGTTCTGGTCATAAAGGGGAAGAGAGGGAAATTTAGGAAGAAGAAAATGGAGCCTGTTGTCCTGCAGGAAAAAATGGCCCATGTAATAAGTAGTTAGGATATGTAGGCAATTAGTATCTTTTCCACATCAAGAGAAACCTAAGAAGGTTCCCAGGATGTTCCCCACCCCTCCCCCTAGAGAACTCCTGGAGGCCATGGACATGGAAACCATTTACAACAGAATCATAGACTTGAGAGCTGGCAGGGACCTGAGCAGCTATGCAGGTCAACCCACAGACCCAAGGAATTCCTGCTACCATGCACCCAAGCTTGGTGATCTCCTGGGAGAGGGAACCCATTCCACTTCGGAACGTGGCTAATCGTGAGCAGGTGTTTTCAGACATGGCCTCAGTTTACTTCCCTGCCACTACCATCCTGAGCTCTCTGTCTGGTCCCCTGGGGCCAAACAGCCATTTAAATCACCTGCCTTCCAGGCAACCATCCTCCTCATTCCCCTCCCACTGCAACCCTGGACTCAGCCTCAGGAGCTCTGACAAGGGAGTCTTGGCCTAATCTACTTCCTGGCCATTTCCAAACCATGCCAGCAAGGGCATACTCCCACATTTTACCTTACACTCCATCAGAGTGTCACTCCTCCAGAGCAGGGGTTAACTTGCTTGTGTTTATAGCTTTCTCTCCAAGAGCTCCTCCCCCTCCCCCAGATAATAAGCACTTGAGAAATGCTGCATCATTGAAGCCTAATAATCCTACAAATACCTGAGGCCAGCTGCCAGGTCTACCTGGATTCTCCTCTTCCCCAGGTTAAACCAGACCAGTTCCTTCAACCAATGCTCCTATGATCCGGATGCCTCCTCTCCTGGCTGCCCTCCCCTGGGCGCTCCAAAGCTTATCAAAGTCCTAAAGCCCCAGTGCACAGAACTAAGGACAATACTCCAGCGCAAGCGTGAGAAGGGCAGAGCACAACAGGACCACCACCCTCCTAGTCCTGCAGACCACGTCCCTCTTAAATGCAGACCCAATGCTCACTACAGAAGATCCCAGATCCTCTCGGAACTGCGATAGTCTGTTAGGATGACTGTCAGAATGGCAGGCCACCCAGCTCCCACAAGCCTCCCTTCAGCAAAACCTGACCAAATCATCATCAAAAAATACAATGAGAAACCACCACAGGCACAACTTCCCCCAGGGACTACAGAAGGAGTCAGCTTCCGGAGGCCAGAGGGCCAGAGAAAGGGAGGCCAGCCAACAGAGCCTGCACCGGCCCAGCACTGCCTCCCAGCACACCCTGATGGAGCCTGCAAGCTTCTGACTCTAGAAGTTCCCTGAGAAAGCCCCTAACTGTGAGGCCTGTGGGTGGGGTGGAGTGCTGGACAGTGGCTGCAGTAGGCAGCCCAGCACAGCTTCAACCAAGAGTCCCAAAGAGCTCCCAATGGGACAGAGCAGGCACAGGGGCTCGGAGATCCATCCCCGACATTTCTGGCCAGAGATGCTAAAGAGGGCCTGGAAAAACCCAGAGGGTCAGCATAGGACCAACCAACCCACCCACCCAAAAATGAAGCAGGGAGTAAATGCTGGCCCTGATACAAAGGCCTGGGTGAGGAACTAAGGTGGAGAGCTGAGAAAAGCAAAGAAAACACTGACCGGTACTAAAAATCGTTGCAAATCTAGAGATCTGCAAAAAGCGCTAACTCTACAGCAAATGGAAGCGGTAAGTCTTGGCTACCGAAAAGAAGCTGACCTGCACTGACAGAAGGTGTTTCCTCTCTGGGAGCTCCCAACGATAGCCCTCAGACCATAGGTACAGTCCCATCTCTGTTTTTGTGAGTAGGGAAGGCTTACTACTAACAATTATCTGCAACCGGAAGAATAAAAACCCCTGAAATATTAGTCCCTTTGATATATATCACTTTTCCCCTTCGGTCTTCACGTGCACAGTAAAGAGAGGCTTTGCTCCGTGTTATCTTCAGCTCCTTACTCTGCTCGCCTCAAGTGTCACCATCCAATCTAGCTGCTTTCACCTCCATCACCCGTCTGGCATCTGAGCCCTCTTCTGCCCACAAAGTCACTTAACGTCACCAAACTCACCACCTCTCCAAGCCCCTCCTGGCTGGTCTCCTGGGCTCACGTCTCTCTCCCCGCATTTCTGCCAAGCCAATCAATCTTGGATGCACGGTCACTGCTGTTCATCAAGCTTGCTATGGCCTCTCGAAAACCTAACCCCTTCAGCTTCAGTTGGGAAGCTCTCAATAACCTGGCCCCACCTTGCTTTCCAGCTTCAGTGGACATCACTTTCCCTAGATCCAGCCAAACTGGCCTTCTCTCTGTTCCTCACACACAACACTCCATTCCCATCCACCACTAAGCATTTGCACCAGCTGTGCCCCAGAACTACACACTTCTTCCTTCATCTCAGAATCCTTCTCCTCCTGTGAGATGCCTTTCCTGATCCCCACAACTGCCAGTGATCCCCCAAACCTTCTATTGAATGGCTTTGCTTTTCTTCCCTTCATACTTACTTTGCACATATCCTTCTATTTGTACCTGTGGCCTCCCTAGTTATGATGGAAACGCCTCGGGGAGGCCTGTCTCCCCAGCTGCTGAGAGCAGTAATTTGCCCCCAGGCTATCACAAGTGCTTGGTGACTGGTTGATCTCTGAGCAAATGTAAACTCTGGCCCAATCTCTATGGGAATGACTGATTCTACTAACTACAAATTAGTGGAATCAGAAATTTTAAGTTTTTCAGGAAAATGATAAATGTTGGAGAAGATATGGGAAAATCAGAATACTAATGCATTGCTGGTGGAGTTGTGAAATGATCCAACCATTTTGGAGAGCAATTTTGAACTATGCCCAAAGGGCTATAAAAATGTGCATACCCTTTGACCCAGCAATAGCGCTTCTAGGGCAGTATCCCAAAGAGATCATAAAAATGGGAAAGGGACCCACATGAACAAAAATATTTATAGCAGCTCTTTTTGTGGTGGCAAAGAATCGGAAATTGAGAGGATGCCCATCAATTGGGGAATGGCTCAACAAGTTGTGGTATATGAATGTAATGGAATACTATTGTGCTATAAGAAATGATGAGCAGGTGGACTTCAAAAAAAACCTGGAAAGACTTGTATGAACTGATGCTGAGTGAAGTGAGCACAACCAGGAGAACACTGTACACAGTAAAAGCCATGTTCGGCAATGAGTAACATTGACAGACTTAGCCCTTCTCAGCAATGCAGGATCTAAGACATCTCCAAAGGCCTCATGATAGAAAATGCTATCCACATCCAGAGAATGAACTATGAGGTTTGAATGCAGTTCGAAGCATGCTATTTGCTATTTTTTTTCTTCTGTTCAGTTTTGTTTCCTCTTTCTTAAGGTTCCTCCTATTGGTTCTAATTCTTCCTTACAACATCACTAATGTGAAAATATGCTTAATAGGAATGTATATGTAAAGCCTATATCAGATTGCGTGTCATCTTGGGGAGGGAGGCTGGGAGAGAGGGGGAGAAAATTTAAAACTCAAAAGCTTATGGAAGTGATTGTTGATAAATCAAAATAAATTAGTTTTAAAAAAATAGATTTTTAAGTTTTTACCATATTTCAACTGATATTTCCCCTAGTTTTCATTTTACTCTTTCATTTTTGAACATGCAGTAAGCCAAATTAGAGCAAATTTGTTCAAGCTGGACAAATTATGTATGTTCACACTATAAAGAAATTAAAGGAGCAGAGGAATTACTTCTCACAACTATGGCTGTGGATTGACAGTGTCACAGGCAATAAATGGAGAACTGTGATTATATAAAAATTGAAGTTTTTGTACAAACAAAATCAGTGTTGTCAAAATTAGAAGGGAAATAGTTAACTGAGAAATAAAAATGTTTGCAGCAAATTTCTCTGATTGAGATCTGCTATCCAAGATCTAAAGGACACAAGAACCAGAGCTATTTCCCCAATAGATAAATGGGCAAAGGATATAAACAGGCAGTTCACAAAAAAGCAAGCATCAAGAGCTAGATGAAAAATGTTCCCAATTATGAATAATAAAAGAAATTCAATTAAAACAACTCTGAGTTTCCATCTCATTCCCATCAGACTGGCTAACGCAAACAAAAAAGAAAATGACCATCCCTGGCGGGGCGGTGGGAGGGCAGGCCCAGTAACTTCCTGCTGATGGAAGAGCAAATTAATCCCACTATTCTGACCAACAGTTGAGAACTGTACCTTAAAAAAAAAATCACTCGACTGTGAATGACACCCTATGCCTTGGTCTTAGCACTCCTAGACTTATGTGCCAAAGGTACCAAAGAATGAGAGAAAAGATCAACAGGAACAAAATATACACAGCACCTCTTTTTTGCTGTAGCAGAGAACTAGAAACAAAGCAGGCGTCCATCAACTCAATGGTTAGGGGCTAGACAATTATGGAACAGGAATAGAATGGAGTATTCTTGTACCATCAACACTGACAAGGACAGATTCAGAAAAATCTGGGAGAACACACGGGGACCGATGCGAGGTCAACTGGGCAGAAAAGCAGGAAAGGAATTAATATGATCTTTGTAAAGGAAAACAATCATGGAAGACTTAGAGAGACTGATCAATGCAATGACCAATTACAGAGAACAGACAAAGAAGCCAACTACCCGCTTCTGACAGAGAGGTGATGGAATGAAGATGCCAAATGAAACATATGTTCTCAGATACAACCCATGTGTGGATTTGTTTTTGTTTGATTATACTAATTTGTTACAAAACAGGACTTTTAGGCTTTTATTCTTGGGGAGCTGGGGA